ATATTATTGGATCATTATTGTCTAAATAACTATTTATTAATAGAACTTACTACTTAAAGTTTTATGGCGACCAAAACTATAATAAATAATAAATTGTATTGGTGTATGTTGTTGTAATAGAGCTGAAATCACAATCATTAAGAAGTTATTGTAACTTCATTTGTAATATACAAAATTTCAATATAGATATATATTGGATTCTCATTTTTCTTTATAATCTTTTTACTTTAGATTCATATTTATAGTGATAACATTTCAAGAAAAAAAAAATATGCATCTAACCTAAATTATACTTTTTTGCATAAAAGCAAATTAGTTACATAATTATAGGTGTATATATATATAATATTTTTAATATTGGAAAAATAGAAAAATAAATTCCTATTCGTTATCTATTATTTTCAAAATATTTTGCTTCTCACTTTTTAGTAACAATAAAGACATTATTTTATTAAACTGGTTCAATTTAAACAATTTTTTTGAATTTATTGTTTCTTGATGCTACATATCTATTATAACAACTTAAAATAAAAATGAATTATAATAAAATATTGCATAGTTAAATTCAGAAAATTTAATAAAATAATGTAGGAAGTTGGAATTTTTTACTAAATACATATAAAGATCAGTTACATGGAAGCAATAATAATAATAATGATAATGATAATAATAATAATAATAATAATAATAATAATAATAATAATAACAATAATAATAATAACAATAATAATAATAATAATAATAATAATAATAATAATAATAATAATAATAATAATAATAAGAAATTTTTAATGACCAAACACCTAAAAAATATTAGATATGTGTTTGATTTTCGTATGACCAACACATATAAAACCCAAACATGAAAACAGTAAAAAACGCTAGCAAACAATTATAATACAAAGAATTGTAATAAATTTTTTTTTTAAAGTTATATTAAGAGAATAAAAAGATAGACATCTATTGATATTAAAATAATAGAAAATAAGGGAAAGATAACATTAATATATTATTACTTTTACATTTTTTCTTATTTTTCTAAAATTTATTGCTAATTAATAATTTCATGTTTATAAGGAAAATCACTATTAGATATTTATAAGAAAAATCGAATGTGTAGTTATTTCAAGGAAATTATTTATCTTAAACCAATGCTTACCGACTTTGTAATTATTTTTGACCCATTTATTTTATTTTAACTTGAAAATAAGTTTCCTTAAAAAGGAATATTACCAATATAATAAAATTATAGATTTTGTAATTATAATCAAAATATTTTTTATTTAACCTTGCAAATAAGATTCTGGACAAAGGAATATTACAATTGAAATAAAATTATAAGAAGTATTTTTACAATTTTAGATGTTTGGTATTTTTTTAAACAAAAAATAATAATATTAAATATTTAGAAGAAAAATATTTTTCTAATATTTTGAAATTTAGGAAAATCGTATTAAATAATTTTTAGTATTTTTTGAAAGATATTAAATATTTATAAGAAAAAGATTTTTCTAATTTTTAATTTTATGAAAATCGTATTAAAAATTATTGGTATTTAATATTTTAAACCCATGTTTAAGAAAACTACTATTATTAAATACTTATTTATATGGAAATATAATTTTTACATTTTTTAAGGACTTTTTGAAAAAGGAAAAAAAACTTTTTAAAAGTTTATGTTGAAGATTTTTTAAAAGGAAAATTAACTATTAAATTGATTCTTTTTTCAATTTTCTATATTTAATATATTTTTAATAGAAAATACTATTAAATACTTTTAAGCGAATATTTAGTAAATATTTTACAAATGTGATCAAATTTATATTCAAATAATGTTTAGTATTTTATAAATATCTTAAACCAACAGAGTGAAAAGATATATTATTAAATAATAAATATTTATATGGAAATATAATGTTTTACAGTTTTTGCTTAAGATTGTTTTTTAAAAAAGGAAAAATAACTTTTAAATTATTTTAGTGAAAGTTTTTCCTTTAAAAGAGTGTTATTTAACACATATCATAATCTTAAATATATAATTGTAATGTGTCGTGATTGTGTTGATTAACAAATTTGAAAACCAAGCTTTATTTTGTAAAAAAAAAAAGGAAAAAAACAAGGTTTATATAATAAGAAAGTTTTTGTTTAATTTTTTTTTAAATAAAGAAAAACTAACTTTATTTTTTTCCAGTTAAAGTTTTTGTTAAACTATTATTTAACATCTGTCATAATCTTAAATATATAATCGCCATATGTCCTTGATCACGTTAATTAGAAACTGGGAAAACTAAGCTTTATATAATGACATGTGTCACAAAATAATACAAATTTCTTTTGTTTAGGATTTAAAAATGGAAAATTATTATTATAAAAAAAAACTTCTTATAGTTTTTCTTGTTATGATTTTACAAAAAGAAAATTACTATACACAATTTTTAACAATTTTATTTTGATTATGATTTAAAATAAATTATTAGTAAATAATTATTTCAGTAAATATTAAATATTTTTTTTTTAAATTGGAAGTTTTCCTATTCAATTTTAATATCTATACATATTTTACAATTTATATTTCTTAGTTAAACTAGCTTTAGTATTATGTTTATTATCAACTTCCTTAAAACAATGATTAATTTATTAATTAAATTGTATATTATCTTTTGTTAGGATTTAAAAAGAAATATAGTAAAAATTCTCTTTTGGTTCTGAAAAAATGAAATTAACTTTTTAGATTATTTTTATATTTTTTGGTTTAGGTTTTTTTAAATGAAGTATTGTTATTTAATACATGTCATGATCGTAAATATATAATTGTAATGTGTCATGATCATGCTAATTAATTAGCAACTTCAATAAACTATGTTTGTAATTACCTTAAACCCATATTTTTAAAAAATAAATACTATTGTTAAAATTTTATTTATATAAAATATTAAAAATAGAAGTTTCTATATCCAACACTTCTACCTTCTTTATATGTATTCACGTTTGGCTATATTCATATAAAATATTACAATTCTCTTTGGTTTAATATTTTTAACAGGAAAAATACTATTAATATTTATAAGAAAATATTTTGTAAATATTTTAATTTGTATAGAATTTATCTTTAAACAATGTTTAATGTTAATTATCTTAGACCTTGTTTTAGAAAATAGATGCTATTGTTATATTTATATGGAAATATTTAAAACGCTCTTTGTTTAAGAATTTTTAAGTTTATTTTTATATTCTTTTGGTTTAAGTTTTTTTTTTTTAAAAGTAAAACTGTTATTTAACACATATCATCATATTAAATATATAATTGTCATGTACGTAGTCATATTAATTAAAAATTTTGAAAAACCAAACTTGGAATTATCTTAAAGCCATGCTTTAAATAATGAAATACCATTGTTAAAACGTTATTTATATGGAAATATTAATCAAAATGTTTTTTGAATAAGAATTTAAAAAATGAAAGTTAAATTTTTAGATTTTTTATATTCTTTTGGTTTAAGTTTTTTTTTCTTAAATAAAACCTATTATTTAACATATGTCATAATCTTAAATATTTAATTTCCATGTTTCATAATCATCTTAATTAGTAACTTTAAAAAAATACTATTATTATATATTATTTATATGGAAATATAAAATTTACAGTTTTTGTTGAAGATTAGTTAAACAAGGGAAACTAACTTTTTAAAGTTTATGTTTAAGATTTTTTGGAAAGTAAGATTAACAATTAAATTCTTTTGGTTTAAGTTTTTAAAAGAAAAATGGTTTTTTAACACATGTCATAATCTTACATATATAATCGCCATGTGTCGCGATCATATTGATTAGTAACTTTGAAAACCAAACTTTATATAATAAGATTGTAAATACTTTAATTCATGTTGAAGGTTTGCTATTCCATTCATGGATTATTATTCTCCTTATAGTCTCAAATCTCTTTTTTTTAACCAGACAAAAAAAAGTTTCAAATCTTTTCAATTTCATTTTCAAATAGTATTTTACAGATTAAATTTTGTTCCCAGTAGGGTTATGCCTAGGGCTAGGCACTAATACTTGTTACTCGTCAGTACTTGCTACTTGATTTGTACTCGGTTTGAAAAAATCAAGTACTAGGCGTTTTTAAGACAAGTAAGAAATATACAAATTTTATTTGTAAATACAAGTCAAATATCAAATATCACAATTTGTTTAATACTCGGCTTGTTACTTGTTTGATTACTTAATATTAATTCTAAAAATTTGTATTACTCTTAATATATTTGTTTTACTACTGTTATTGTAATAAAATTTATTTATTTTTAGCTTTTTAGGTATTTAATATAATATATACTTATATTCAATGAATTATATATACAAGCACTAAATCAAATAACTTGAACAAACTAAGTAAAACAACAAATATATGAAAAAAAAAAATATATTCCAAGTTAACCAAAACTTATATGTTTTGGTATATTTAAATTCAAAATTTTAAGGCTAAATAAATAAGTATCGAATATTATCAAGTAATTTACAACTATTTAAAATATAGGCAAGTACTTGACTAGCTAAAAACTTGATCGAATCAAATATAAGTACAAGTAAAAAAAATTAGTACTTGCACAAAGCAAGTCAATAGCAGGACAAAACCACAAGTACCCGATTTGCGCCCCGGCCTAGTTATGCCTTTAACACGTCGTGTATAGAGAATAGACATTACTATCTTTTGGATTTTATGAAATATCTGCTTTAGGTACTCAGAACTGAAAATTGCAATACACCTCTATGGGTGGTCAAATACGCCACCTACAAAAACTCCTTGACAGTAGTACCACATTATAACGAATCTTTTGTTTTAAAAGAATGCATCTTCTTTGCGTATAAGCTATGAATCAATATAATCTGAATGTTCCTTGTACATATTTATTAATTTTCTATGTAAGATTATGACAAGAAAGAGGGCCATAACCGGACCAAGTTTTACTAAAAACTGAACCGGAAAATCAAGAGCGGAAGGTTGGTTACTCTTTGGCTCGTTTGCTCTGGGATTTACGCTTGGTAACGTCTAGACATCTCTTTCTCAACCTAATCGTCTTTGGAGTAACCTGAACACATTAAACCAATAGCAAACACATGCATAAGTAGCAGAAAAGAAAACGTTCCTCAAGGTTCAAGATTGGGTGGACTTAGGATTGGCGATGTTACCTCAATAAGTTCATCTGAGGCAACGTATCCTATAGCTTCCTCAAGTGTCATCTGAATGGAAAAGAATTCAAAACTATATCATTAGTCATCAAGAAAGCGGTTTTCTCGTCTCTTCAGATGTTGTGAGAAATGGGTACATACGAGGCGAGGTGGTGATAGCTTCACATTTTCGTCTTTGTTAACAGAGCGAATGTTGGTAAGCTCTTTGGCCTTAACCGGGTTAACCTGTTGTGTGCAATGCAAGTAAGCCCATGGTATTCAAGTCAATTTATAGTCATCTTAAGTGTGAGTCTAAACAACTTACATCAAGATCTGTATCCCGTGAGTGCTCACCGATAATCATGCCATCGTATGACTGTTAAAAGACAGAAAAACAGAAGAAGATGCAGCATTAGCAAGGATCAAACGCTCCAGGACCACACAAATATTCTAACTACGAAGAACTGAACCAATAAAGAAACAGAACATTTATATATATTATCATATTTAGAAAGGTTCTCACGTCTAGCCCCGGAGAGACAAAGAGAGTCCCACGAGCTTCCAAACCCATTAGTGAATGAGCTGTAATAGTTCCATATCCCATCGAAACCTGTTTCAGCAAGAGATATAAATTCAATGATAACTTAAGAGTGTAGACACAACTTTTAGGAAAGAAAGACGTCAAGTGAAAACGGATCTCTCCTATTCAACAATCATCCATAAGAAAACAAGGTATAGCTATGCACCAAATGGTTAGATATTGAGACCCATAAACGTACCAATACTCCTTTCCTAACATTTCCAAGTGGGCCTCTGTACTTTTCATACTCTGCAGGGACGAAATATACAATACGTTATCAACTAGAAAAGAATGAAACAACAAATTGAAACAGACATGGAGTAGAAAAGCTGCATACTAAGAAAAGCACGATGCATGAATCCAGTTCCACGGGTGTCGCTGCTGAACACACATCTGTACCCAACCAAACCTCTGTAGAACGCAAGTATCCTTTTGTTAAGTTTCTTCAAGAGGGTATGACTGAATGAGTATAAATTTTATAAAAGTATAATAAAAATAAATGAAGATACAAAACTAACCTTGAAGGACAAGTTAACGACAGTCTCGTCCTACCATCATTTCCAGGGACAGGACACATGTCAATAACTTCAGCCCGCCTATGGGAGAGAGCTTCCATCACTACTCCTACGTGCTCTTCATTAATCTCAATTGTCACTTCTTCAATTGGTTCAAGCCTTTGTTTATCTTCGGTTTTGTACCTAAATCAGATAACCGAACGCTCAAAATTAACCAACAGAAGACCGGCACAAAGGTTTTAGAAACAAAGTGTGCTTCTTTAGGCTAAAGTAATTCCTAATAGACTAACTAAGGTATTGCTGTTGAGTAATATCTGCGCAAAATCATATAACTTAGGAAAAAAACGAGGGAATTCTTCTCTGCTTCACAAAATAGCAAGACACTTTTCTTGAAAAATCCACAGAAGAAACATATAGCATTAGCTTAAACTAAGAGTACGATAGCAACTGTACCCAAGTCTAACTACATAGCTGATATAGTATGTGGTGCAACTTATAGCAAGACAAAACGGAAAAGATGAAACTCACATGACTTTAGGTGGTGAGACCGAGAGCTCAAAACCTTCCCGTCTCATATTCTCAATCAAGATACCTATTATACACGACAGAAGATTATTTCAGAAATAGATACCTATCTGACGTATTTCATATTTATTTCCATCTTTACAGGTGAAGAACAAGAATTGGAAAACACACAAACCAAGTTGAAGTTCTCCTCTTCCTTGGACTTCAAATGATTCCGACAAGCCTGGAATAACGTTTATGGCAAGATTTGTTTCAGCTTCTGCCATTAGCCGGTCCCCAATTTTCCCTCCAGTCAACTGCATGCATATCAGCAAAACCCTATTAACATGTGCCAGAACGGGTCGTCTACAACCGAATACAAACCTTTTCTTCATACATTGTTTAGTGGGGAAGGGAGTCAAGGGACAAATTAACTAATAATGGTAGAAACATATAAGTGAAATCAGATGTGAAGATGCAGCAAAGCAGAGGTAAATCTGAGTCTTGCTTCAAGTTAAAAGCAGAGTATAATGGGTAGAGCTATATCTTGTTGCTAAAAATAAAACATACCTGGGTGCCATCCCGACCAGCTAGAGGAGAGTCATTGACACCAAACGTCATAGAAATTGTTGGTGGATCCAGCTCAACTGAAGGGAGCGCAGTTGTGACCTGCAAGACCAAAAAAATGAGGTACACTTTCAAACTGCTTAAATTTTCAACTAGGGATCAAAGGATTTTGAGAAGTTACGTTGAATTCAGAATTCAGTTTTATCTGTTCTAAAAATTAAAATAGGGAAGTGGTTTACTGGGATGTTACCTCTGGACTAGCCACTGTGTGACCTATTGATGGAGTTGTCAAACCAGCCATACAGATTATATCACCAGCTCCAGCGGCTTCAATTGAAACTATGGTTGTGCCTTTCTTTTTCATTACCTTGACAACCTATGAGAAAGATGTCTGTATCTCCTTAGTTGAGACAGTGTTGTTTACATAATACGGCTGACATAGAATTAAAGCAAATATACAGACCAACCTTTGCTTCTTCTATTTTTTCTGTGCCGGAATCAGTTTTGCGTAGTCCAATGATTTTGTCGCCAACACGGACAACTCCAGACGACACTCTTCCCGTTAATATTCGGCCAAGATAGTAGTCCTTCTCCATCATTGAAACCTAGAACTCAAAAGTGAAAATGTTAGCAAAGTTCTATCGCCAAAGACTTTAAGCAGATCAAATTCTTTCCCCTAAGCGAAAAGTTACAAACATATGAATATCTTCCAATCTCGACATATAATCTACACAGCAATTATACTTTGTACAACTTCGTATAAATTTCAACCAAAATCTTAGTTTACAATCCTTCTACCTTTCTTGAGATTTAATGACGGATACGGTTATATAAGATGCTTCTAAGCTCACACAACAAGTTTACTAAACAAACATTCAATCCAAGTTAAACAGGTATTTAACTTAACCTCTACTTTGGCACACCCAAAAAATAATAATGTGAGTGGTGTTAAGTCTATATTGGCCATAGTTAGGAACACAATTCAATGACCAGCTACACAATAAAGAACAATCAGAAAAGTGGAAAAAGTTGTATAACAATATTAGTTGGAATTTTTAGTTACCAGCATCAGAAATGGCGCATCAAGGTCTGCTTTTGGTGGGGGGGGCATGTTTTACTACAGCATCAAGCAATTGTGACATATTCCTCGCATCTGCAGGAGGTTCTTTGGTGAAGGTAGAAGATGCCCACCCTTCTTTTGCGGAGGCATAAAGCACAGGAAAGTCTAGTTGTTCCTCTAGTACAGGAGAGAAGACATAAATAATAGATTTAGTAAAAAAAATGGAAATCATTTGTAACTAAATAACAACACAGAGATTACACTGATAAATGAATTACCTGTAGCACCGAGATTAGCAAAAAGATCAAACACCAAACTCTCCACTTCATCACACCTTTCTTCTGAGACTGGCAGCGGGAAAAAAAAAGATGAGAAAAACTTTACAAAAGAGAGGAGACAAAGAAGTTTTAACGAAAAGAGGAAGTGAATGACAGGCAAACCTGAAGGTCGATCAACCTTGTTTAGGAGAAGAATAGGGCGTAGTCCATACTTCAAGGCCTTAGCAAGAACAAACTTTGTCTGTGCAAGAGGGCCTTCTCCAGCATCGACAACTAATATAGCTCCTTCAACCATACCAACGACTCGTTCCACCTACATTCCAAATATACCATAAGTCACACCTATATTCCACTCCACTAATGCTGGAGAAGGACAACTCATACATATTTTTCTCAAGATAACAAAACTATCACCAAGACTATGAGTAGGTATATGAAAATTATTATTCCATGTATCTTATGTCCACTTAGCACCAAGCAAGTGAGATCATATGCTAGCTAGTATATATAAACAAAGGGTACAGACAGTTTCGAACAATTACCCATTTCAATTGTATTTTATCACAGGAAAAGCATGTTCCTAATGGAATCTACTTCAGCTCATGGAATTTGATATGCACATGCAATTTTGCCGAAATTGAGCATGAGAATCAATAATACGATAGAAGTAACAGAGCTTATCACAGATCAGTCACATACCTCCCCACCAAAATCTGCGTGACCAGGTGTGTCTACCATGTTAAGTTCGTTTTCTTTCCAAAATACCGATGTCACCTGTCAGAAAATTTTACAATGGTGATGTAAGCAATAAACCAATAAAATTAACACACCAATAGGCAATAGGCAACAAATCAAATAAGATTAACACATCAATAAATTAACACATCACTAGGTAATAAGACATAAGTCAAAATCTTTACAGACAAAAGAACAGAACAAAAAAAAAAAAAGGAAAAGACAAAAAGTCTTCGGCTTTGTTTTAATCTACACCGAACCATTTTCAAAGTGTAAGCTTCAAGAAAATGCGATACCTTTGAAGAAATAGTGATCCCTCGCTCGCGCTCGAGGTTGATCGAATCCATGGCACGCTCGTGTGGGATATCGGCTCCACACTGACGGAGAAGCCTGTCCATGAGGGTGGTCTTCCCGTGATCGACATGAGCAATCACAGCCACGTTCCGAAGTCGGTTAGGATCGAGCGAGCTGTTAGGAGCTCCGCTGGCAGCAGAGAAGGCTCGCAAGGACGAGAGAGAGTGTCCGAGTTTGAGATGGGAAGGTGATGATTGGGAAGAGAAGGGTCTTCGAGTGGTGTTAGACCAGAGTGATCGAAGCAGAGGCCCCGCCATCTCTCTGTGTGTGTGATTGGGGTTTTACGATTTAAAATCTCAAAAAGGGTTTCTCTTTTTTGATGTTATTTGCAAAACGAGCTCTTTCGAAATTATCATAATTCTCCATAGGTTTTCAAATTTCAATTGGCTCTAGTACTCTCTCACGCGATGATTTATGGTAGGCCTGCGGATTTCAACTGAACCAGCCGACCCGGAATTTTTTTGGTTTGCTCTCAGTTCAGACTTTTACATCGGTTTAGTTCAGAAAGCGTTTGAAAATATTTCGGTTTTTCTTTTTTGGTTAGTTATCCACATATAACCTTAATTAACCAATACAATCGAGTCAACCAATATTATCTAAGTTTTAAAAATTTAAGCCGAAACTAGATTTTAACCCTCATTTTAAAAGTGCGAGATTTGTTTATTTTTAAAAATTCCATTGACAAATATATATTTTTATTTAAAATATATATATATATATTTGTGTGTGTGTCTAAAATGTTTGTAAGCTAATTATACTTGTAGTTGCAATGATTGTATTTGCGTATCAAAACTTATATAGAGAGTCAAAGTGTTGTTCAGGAAAAAAAATACTCTTTAATTATAATTTGTTGATATTTTAAGTCTAAATGTTGTATTCAGGAGAAAGTCATTGGGTTTTAGACACACACTTTCAAATTGCTAACTAAATTTCGATTGGTGAAATTTTCATTCATTTAATTATATATTTTGCTTTGGTCTTGATTTTGCAATGATTAAATTATAATGATATAACTCAAATCAGTCATAGCATATTGATGGAATTTTATTTTAATTTGTGTGAGTGAATCTGACTATAGATGAAACAATCTATAACTATAAAAAGAAAATTTCAAAAGAAATTATTATCTCTATTTTTTCGACTAACGTAATTAATATATTTTTAATATAGTCACTTTTTATTTACCTTTATATTTACAACGTATATTTTTGTGTTATTAATTACTAATTAAACATCAAGAAATCTATTAAAGGTAAATTGAAACATAACAAATTTAACCTAACTATTATATCTACATATAAGATTTCGAATTATAACTGCTCTTCATACAATACTGCAATTTCTTTTGAAAAGATTAATTTTCCTTAACGTTTTATATAAATTAAGCTATTGAACTTTATCATATTCTTGATGTTGTATCTACAAAGCTAATGATATTATTTGATTTATAAACCTTTTTATTAAAAAAACAAAAACTACTAACCTTATATTGAGTGATCTTTTACAAAATAATAGTTATAGCATAGGTATAACATTGATTATATAGTTATACAACTATATAATAACTATAACATAGTTATAACATAAAAACATATATCTATGATTTTTTACAATATAAAAGATAATAGTTGTTCTTAGTTTTTTTCGACATCCATTGAAACATTTTCTTCTTTATACAACTATATAATAGCTATAATATATATATATCAATTAATGCAATCATGCTATGAATAAGATATGAATTAAATGATAATGAAACAATAAAATATGAAGCAAATATACAAATTTTCATGTTTATAAATTATTCCAAAAAATCTTTACTTCATTTTAATTTAACTATATTTCAAAATATTAAACAACCGGTTTTATAGAAATATCAGCACTATGAAAATAGTACTGAATGATTTTATTTAAATAAAAAATTATTTGACTTAAATGTCCAATCAAATTGTAACCTAAATAAAGAAGATTTTGTGCTGTAAAATGAAATATGTCAGTTTAAATAGATCCATAAATAAACTATTTAATGTTAAAACACCTAACTAATAGCAATAAATAGTTGCTCATTTAACCTCACCAATTTACAAAAGAAAGATACACGTATTATTTATACTTAATCTAAACAAACTTGTACTGTATATGTAAACAAAGTTACTTTCAAAAGATTTGTTTCCTTATAAAATGGGTGAAATTGTTTTAAAAAAAATTCTTTAAAATAAACAATGGCATGACATTGTAAATAACTAAAAAGATCAAGAGCAGAATCCTATAAGGGATTCTGCTTTAATAGTATAGATCTAACATAAATGAAAAATTCATTTATTTTTTATTAATTTTAATTAGCCTAAAGCCGAACAAACCAAAGATTGACCGAAGCAAACTAGTGAAAACGAAAATACATAACACAAAAAAGAAAACAAAACTGCAAAGCTAATATATAGTTTACTAGGTCTTCTCTGTAAAATTAGAACCTTGCATCATAGCATACCAAAATAATATTCGGTTATAGATAGTAGAATTCATGTCAACAAAAATAGAAATAGAAATGATTCCAGAAAATAAGTCTTACAATATTGAACACATTTTCATCTTCCTTTACACTCAAAAAAACTTTGTGCTTGTAAGGTATATTTACAAAAACCAATGTATATATGAGACAAAAATATCCCTACTTGCTAAAGATAATTTAGTTAGAAAATTCTATTTAATTAGATATTCTTTCGTACACAGTTTAGTTTGTAGTTAGTTTATTTATAGAAGTTATTATGGCACAATGAATTTTTTTTATTTGACTTTATTTTCAGTATCTTTTGTTTCCTTAAATTCATATATCTAATATATAAATAATTATATATGTATCTACATATGGTTTTCTTTAATAATGTTTTATTTGTCTTCTTTTAATTACAAATAGGGGTTTGAATCCAAAATAGGATTTTACTGAATTTCCCAGAAACGTGTAAGCTTAGCCAAGTCCATTTATTAAAGTTTTAATTTTTTAAATATTTCTTATAATATTTAATTGATTTTTATTGTTGGATATTTTTAATCTCACAACATATATCACATACCTCTTAACAATAGTATTTCAAAAAGGTTCATATATCTACGCATCCATTATCAACAATGTTTTTACAAAAGCTTGTCCACTAAATCTCATCCACAAGATTTTATCCACGATACGTCAAATTTCATCCACAAAATCTACTAACACAAAACTTCGAGTATGTTATTCATCTTTTTATTTTTTAAATATTTACGATTTCAGATAATCCAATAAACAACAATTATAGCTCAAAGTACAAGCAAAAATCAACCAAAATGTTCTAATTCAACCCTCACAAGACTAGCTTTGCTCGCTCACTAAACTGATGCCATCCGCTAGACCGTTAGGATATTCTTAGAATATCAGTCCCCGTTCTCAACCGTTAATAGAGACCACGAGGATGTGAGGTTTGACCAGAGAGATCGAAGCAGACGCCCCGCCATCTCTCTGAACGTGAAATGTGTGTGTGGTTAATTGGGGTTTTGCGAGATCTTAAAATCACAAAAAGGTTTCTCTTTTGATGTTATTTGCAAAGTCATCTTTCAAAATTATCATAATTCTCCAAAGGTTTTCAATGATCCCCTAAATATAAGGTTTGGAATGGGTGAGGCATATTAAAAATTGTAGATCAAACAGAAATACAGATCGAGAAGAATAAATATAGATTAAATTAATTTAATAATTATTATATTTAAAAAAATATTAAAATATTTTCATAAAAATCTATATCTAATAAAATATAACTTATTCTAAGTAAGTAATAAATGTCACATTGACATAAATAAAAATAAATATCATCATTTCAATAAACATAGTGCAATTTCAAATTATATGAAATTCACCACAACTAAAATTTTAAGAGTATTCTTGTTTATTGGATAAAAATACAAAAAATAATAGGAAATAATAGTTGGGGTGAAATATTGTATCAACAAAATCTTCATTTAAAGTTCTGAAAAATGCATATATGTATATGTAAGAACAAAAATAAAATATTTGATATTTTATTGATATTAATTAATTATAAATAAACTTTAACATTTATAATTATATGCAGTTAAATAAAAATATTTAATTAAGCAATAAGTAAAGATTCATGCATATGTTATAATATATTTTTAGTGAATAAGTAAAATTTGTACTGAGTATTACTGAATATAAACTCTTACTTTTTATATAAATTCTTTTTGTATAATTCATCTAAGAAACTAATTAAAAAGACCTTAACTTTTTGAATTTTAATAGTTGTAGATATAAGAGACAATTTGAAAAATATTAAAATTAATTAAACAGAAAATAAAAATACTACATGCATTAAAATATAAAATTGATAGAAAGCGGCGGAATCGATTAGGCGATTAGGGTTGAAGCTCGGCCTCATCGTCCCCACCGTTGGTGAGCCTCACGCTCATCGGCGAGAAATCTCTGCTCTTTCTTCTTCGCTTTCTATAGGTCTGTTTGTGTTCATGGTTACTCTGGATCTGGTGGATTCGGTTTCTTAGAGCCCCTAGAAGGTAGATGAGGCGGCTCTCAGTTGTCAACTATGTGTCCGAGTTTTGAGGTGAAAAATGGAATTACGGCTCTTGATATTCCAGAAGCGGTCTATGCAAGCTCCGATCCGATCTGGAAGTCTTTTGTGGTGGGGTATTTCATGCGATGCGTCTCATGTGGGTTCCATTCGTGCCACAGTAAATCATATCTGGTCTGTTCGGGGGGGAAAAGGCTAAAATTGATGTTCAGTTCATAAGCAAAACAACAGTCTTGTTTTGGATTGATAATGACACCACTCGTCAGAAGATCTTGAGGAGGAGATAATAGAATGTCTCAGACCTCCCGGTTGTTTTTAACGTTTGGACCCCAGAGACAGCATGCAGCTGCTCCTCCAAAGCTGTCAGCAATGCTACTTTGGGTTGATTTTAAGTCAGTTCCAAGCTATCTTTTTTTCTCACAAGGGTCTAAAGTGTGTTTCCTCCCTAGTGGGAAAGTTTGTAAAGCTTCATCCTTTCACAGAGTGTTGTACCCATCTGGATGTTGCGCGGTTGCTTCTTGAGGTTAATATCCATGAGCCTCTTGTTGAGAAAATTACTTTCACTGGTAGGGATGGTGCTTCGGTGGAGGTAGGGGTGAGTTTTCCATGGTTAGCTACACATTGCAACATTTGTAGTCGTTAGGATCATAAGGGATCATAGTGTACTTTGATCTCAAGATGTT